ATGTTTTAAAAAAAAAAAAAAAAAAAAAAATAAAACAACATGGCAAAAACCTAAACGTTTCCCATAAGACGTATTGCGTGGGTTTATGAATCGTAGGTACTACATTTAGTGGGTATTTCTAAAGTAAAACTACAACTATGTCTGTATGCAGACTTGAGAATAATTCATCATGCATGTTTGACTGTGGGTATTTCTAAAGTAAAACTACAACTACTGTATGTTTGCATGAAGACTTGAGAATAATTCATCATACATTTTTGACTGCATTTGTTTAACGCTTCTCAAATAGTGGGGCGGACTTTCAAATAAATAAATAAATAAATAAATAAGAAGACAGTTTCACTGTCTTTATTCATGCTTGAACGATAAACAAGCCTCCAGCCACTAGGTGGCAGCAGAGCAGACGTTATTAATCAATTTTGATAATCACGTGATTATTACGCAGAATGCTGGTGCCAGCAACTCAAGAAAATATTGCCAGGTGATTAATAGTATTTCATTTCTGGGGGGGGGGCGTCAAAAAAAAAAACTGGGGTCGAGGAGGGGTTAACCCAATACAACTCGTCATTTACTTTTCTCATAAAAACAAGTATATGACAATTTATTTATTTATTTGGATTTATATGGATCATGTCCAGTGGCAACTCTTGTGTTGCTTTAAACAAAGCAGTTTAAATTAATGCCGGTTAACTCAGCTGTACTTTGTGTTGGCAGCTGCGTTTGTTGACTTCATCCTTTATTCTTTCCGTGCTACAGAAGGAGCTCAACTACAAGGTTGATATCCTTGAAAAGAAGATGGACTCGTACAAGAAAATGACTCAGAGACTCAAAAGTACAGTGGAATACATCAAGGTAAAAAATACATTTGTTAATATAGCCCTGATTCTGAAAAGGAGGACATGTACCATATTTATAAGTCGCACTTTTTTTTGCATCCTTTGGCTGGGTTTGCGACTTACACTCGGGTGTAATTTAATATTAAAATATATCATTTCACATGTTTGTTATTTTCACACTCACAGCCACTAGAGGGCACTCTAGGCATGCGTCCCAGTATCTGCTACTTCTGTACCACTGACAAATTATGTTTGTTATTTTTACACTCACAGCCACTAGAGGGCACTCTAGCTGCCTGGTGCGACTTATACTCCGGAGCGACTTGTATATGTTTTTTTTCTTCTTCGTTATGCATTTTTGGCCGGTGCGACTTTGGAAACTACGCTATACAGAACTGAAACAGACGGACACAACAGCTTCGTGAACTATTAAATGGCTAAAACACAAACGAATAAAAGTCCGTTCTAGTGCTCAGGCCGACTGACGGCACATCTCTCCACTTTGGAAATAAAATTGCGATTATACATTGATAATTCACCCTTTTTCTATTCGCACATCTCTCCACTTTGGAAATAAAATAGCGATTATACATTATATATATTATATGCTGTTTAAGTTATGTTGTCTTATTTTAATATGTCTTTCAAATATGACGTCCTTTGAAATTACAAACGAATAATACCAGTGTAAACATTTCGGTTTTGTGGCCAAACTGATATTACAATTATTTTGTTTTTCCTCTGACCGCACAGGCTCAAGCTGGGCAAGCCGAGAAACAAATCAAGACAGAATTTGAGAGGCTCCACCAAGTTCTGGTTGCAGAAGAAAATAGGCGTTTGCATCTTCTTGCAACTGAAGAGGGGCAAAAAGTTGCAAAAATCGAGACGCTGATCTCCAGGACAAAAGAGGACATTCTCTCTTTGGACAAGGTCATCCAATCGGTGAAGAAGGAAATGGGTGATGAGGACCTGACTCTGTTGCTGGTAAAGCTGTTAGATTACATCGCAGCTGTTCGATTCTTGTTTTTGTGTCCGTCATGTATAAAGAACAAAATAAGCTTCAGTAATGATGAACTCTCTCTAAAGAACAAAATAAGCTTCAGTAATGAGATGAACTCTCTCTTTTTTTTTTATGTTACAGAATTTCAAGGAGCTTAAAAAAAGGTCAGTTTTGCAGACACGGTAGCTACACAGTAGGGTTCAATCCATTTTTGATATTCCATTTATCCTGGAAAACTTTGAATTCAATGGTAATGCCATCTCTGCCACAGAGCCCAGTGGGTTCATGTAGACCCCCGCCTTCCTGACGATTCTCTTTTGAACATGGGCAAACATGTTGGTTCTTTGAACTTCAAGATCTGGAGAGATTTGCAGTCCAGTGTCAAATACAGTGAGTGCATTTACTTATTTCATTTTCATT